TAGGCGCTGCTGAGCCCCTGGTTTGCACCAGCGTCAGGGGTGCTGCGGGACGAGGATGGGTGACAGTTGGCGGACAAAAACCAAGCGCTGCTGTTGGAGGCATTTATGGTGTTTCTGGCTGAGAGGATCCAGGGAAAAAACGGCTTGGGTCTAAGGCTGCGAGGCCAGCTCTGAGCTAGAGAAGCCTTTAAGCATAAACACAAGTGAGCCATTCTGTACAAGTTTTATTTTCATCATCAAACTTGAGCTCTGGCTGGGAGGGGGTTTCTTCCTTTCTGTTTCCGCCTTTCCTCATCAAACTGGAAGCAGTGAGCCAGGAGGGTAGCCTGAGTTCACAGCTGCTGCTCAGGACTTTCTACTTAAGAGTTCTCACGGGACTGGTGAGTTGGGAGGAAACTTCAAGGTCTTCCTTAGCCTAAGCTGCTTCACGAGGTGTCCCGTGTACCCAGACCTTTGGCCCTGGAGCAGTTGAAGGTAGCTTGGCTCACGGGTCGGTTCCACGGCAAGGCCGTGTCAGATGACTGGCAATGGCGAGGCGGTAGGACTCCCCAGTCAGGTGCTAAAGCTTACGATGCTTTGGGGTGCCCTGCAGCTCAGCTGCTTGTTGACTGTGAATTGGTGGGGCTGCTGAAGAGCCATTGGCATATTCTTCATATGAACTCACAGGTCTACCTTTCTGGCTGTACCAGTCTGGTAGCTTTTAACTTTGTATTTTTATTTGTGGTGCGTCAGGTCAGCAACTTGGACAACATTGACTTACATGGCTCCTAACAAGTGTGCCTCTAACTCACTTGTAAAAACCTTCAATAAAGCTGGTTGTGCCGAATCCTGTTTTCATATTTCATGACCTGAAACACAAAGTTAAGGTTATTTTTTTATTGTCCTCTTCCCTGTTGACGTGCAAAAAATAAAAGACTGCTGTGGAGAGAAAGGAGCTCCTTTATATATTATAAACATTTTTTTCTGCCTTTTCCACATGAAAAATTCATGTTTTCCATGCTCCCTTGTCATTCTTCTCCTCTTTTTTTTCCCTCTTCCATACTTCTTCCAGTTTCTCAACATTATTTGTAGAGTCCAAAATAGCAGGTTTTGTGTGTCTGTAACACCAGCCTCATCACCTCAAAACAAAGTCATTTGAGTATGTCCAGCCCTGCTCCTCTCCGAATGTGATTTTTTTTTTTTTCCCAACAGCATCTGAATTTTATTTTTCATCCTAGATCCCTATTCTAGATGGTTACTACCTAAATGTAGCTATATGTTTGGTATCTCCTCATTAAGCACTGTTTTTTCCCTTTGCTAAATTTCAGTAATTTTGATCAGGGCCATTCAGTTTGTCAAACGCGATTCAATTTTTTTTTCTTTTTATTCCACCTCAGCCATTTTGTTATGTAGGTTGTTCATGAAAATACTGGCTAGGTCTTGCCTGGACAGGACAGAGCATTGGAAAGCAGCATGTGAAATTTTCTCCTAGTTTAAAAAACCTTTACACATGGAAGAAAGCCACTTCCCCATTATTTTATGTACAAGAAGTGGTTTCAATATAAATTTTTGTTAATTAACAATTCCTATCCAGAATGAGTTTTCATAGAAAAAGAGGTGTTTACCTTGTTTCCTGTAAAAATTGGGCTTCCACTTCCACATATCGGTGTGTGTAGGGGTCTGCCTGTTCCCTGTCCCAATAATGATACGAAAACTGGCATCTGGGTGGAGTAGGGTACCTTGGGTGAAGGAAAAGCTGCAGTTGGGGTCAGCTGTTAAACCCAATCAAGAATTCCGGCTAAACCAAGTCTTCCTAAGTGCTCCCTCTACAGGGGAGACCTTCAGCTGGCATTCACGCTGTTCACATGGGTTTGTGTGACCTCAACCACAGGAAAACAAAGCTGCAGGAAACCCGTCCGTAAGCAGATAAGGTTTCATCCAGTACAAGTGAAGGTTGCTGATAACAGAGATGGGGCAGCTCTGCCCCTACTAACCCGCTCTTGGACCCTCCCCTGTGCTGGCACTCTCAGAGCTGCCTGCTGAATCAGGCAACTGGAGTGGCTAAGCTTTAATTTTTAATTTTTCCATATTAGCTTTCAGGCAAACCCATTCTTGTCCCACAGCTGCACAGACTATGCTTTTGTGTGCTTTGGCATACTTTTGTATGCTTTTGACTGCTTTGCCATATGGATCCCACCTCTACCCAGCAGTCCTCACTTCTCAAAGAGGGTCCCATGGTTGTGAAGGGTACAGCCCATTTGTTACACCAGTCTCGCAGACAGGTATTGACTCAGCCTCCTCTCCGACAGGACTCTCTCCCTTGGCTGTATTGGGAAATATGAAGGAGAACTGTGGGCTTCTGTGTCCTTCACCTTCTCTTCCAGAGCCCTGCAGTCACTCATGACATGATCCAAGTCTCCATTGGTACTATCAGGGATTCCTACATGGTTGAGCCAGAGATTACTCTGAGGGCTGGTCAAGCCTTGGCAATCTCTCCTCAACATCCCAGGGTAATAAGTTTCAAGTGTATTGGTGGGGACAGACTTTTTAATAGGGCTTGTAAGAATAGCACAAGGGGTAATGGTTTTAAACTAAAAGACGATAGATTCAGCTAGATATAAGGAAGAAATTCTTTACTAGGAGGGTGGTGAAACACTGGAACAGGTTGCCCAGAGGGGTGGTGGATGCCCCATCCCTGGAAACGTTCAAGGTCGGGCTGGATGGGACTCTGAGCAACCTGACCGAGTCGAAGATGTCCCTGCTCATTGCAGGGGGCGGGGTTGGACTAGATGGCCTTTAAAGGTCCCTTCCAACCCAAACCATTCTGTGATTCTATGATTTCATGATTCTATGATTCTGTGGCTCTCTTTACCTCACTAATGGGATTTGGTCTCTTAGTTTCCAAATTATGTGATCTTCTAGACTTCAGGTCTGACACAAGCAAAATTACCTGGTTAAATCTGATCAGAAAAGAGAATTTCCATTTTGTAAAAGTGGAGATTGCTGATGGGGAGAAAATGCAGACACTGCAGAATTTCCAGTGAAATGGGTGGGTATCTTTAGCGCCACTGCTTAGCCATGTAACAGCCTGCTGATGTGACTGGCAGTTCAGAGAGAAGGCAGCCATACCTGTTTTTGCTCTGGCAGCCTGGTAAGACAGAGAGGTAACCAACTTGTGGGTGACCCACGCAACAGGGCTGTCCCCGCTGACTGGCTTGGTGGCTGCTCAGCTTGGGTCAGCAGTTGCAGAGTGAAGAGAGAACCAGACCTCTTTTGGTTTGCCAGGCAGCCCGCAGGGCTTGAGAAGCTTTACACGTGCACGACTGTGGAGTATTTGTGTAAATGTAAGGTCTTGCACCTGGGAAAACGCAATTCTGCAGTGCAGACTGGGATCCACTCGGCTGCAGAGCAGCTCTGTGGAAAGGGACCTGCGGGTCCAGGTGGACAGGAAGCTCAACAGGAGTGAGCAGTGCGCTGCTGCGGCCAAGAAGGCCACTGGGATGCTGGGTTGCATCAAAAAAGGCATCACCAGCAGAGATAAATAAGTCATTACCCCACTCTACTCAGTGCTTTTCAGCCTGCACCTGGAATACTGTATACGGTTCTGGTCCCTGCTATACAAAAAAGATGTGGACAGGCTGGGGGAGGGCTGGAGAAGGGCCACCAAGATGATCAAAGGACTGGGAAGCCTTCCGTATGAGGATAGGCTGAGAGAGCTGGGTTTGTTCAGCCTTGAGAAAAGGAGGCTTAGAGGGGATCTCATCACCACGTTCCAGTACCTAAGGGGTAGATACAAAGAAGATGGAGACTCCCTTTTTACAAGGAGTCACATGGAGAGGACAAGGGGGAATGGACACAAGTTGCTCTTGGGGAGATTCCTGTTGGACATGAGAGGGAAATGTTTCCCAATGAGAACAGTCAACCATTGGAATAAGCTCCCCAGGGAAGTGGTTGACTCCACCACATTGGACACTTTTAAGACTCAGCTGGACAGGGTGCTAGGCCATCTTGTCTAGACTGTGCTCTTACCTCAGAAGGTTGGACCAGATGATCCTTGAGGATCCTTCCAACCTGGTATTCTATGATTCTATGATTCTATTTCAGTTGCTTGTGATGCTGCTGTTGGGATATTTACGGAATCAGTATTTGGTAGAGGCGTGCAAGGATAACATGCAAGAATTTGTTGCTTATGCTATCCCGTGGTACATACAAGGTAGTTTCCCTGAGTTATTGAGTGTTATCAGCCATTCTGCAAATCTCAGATGCCTCCAACTAGTGATTAATGCAAAATTGATTTTCCTCCAAGTTATGTTTAACACACATTTGTTAAAATGCTGTTGAGGCATGTATATAAATAAGTATTGGGGGTTTTTTATTTTTTACCTTTCACCTGCCTAAATTTCTGTTTTCCAGACAAATGAATATCTTCTTTTGTTAAGCATTAATACTTTAATAGAAGGCTACCATGGACTCAGTCTCACTTACTAAAAAAATTATTAGCCAGGAGATACAAAGGAAGCAGTGGTCATTCAATATTGAATCATAATGCTTGCAGAGGGTTGCTTTGCTTTTGGTTTTTTGTTAATGTTCTCTTGAATAATACATGTTATCTGTTAGTGATTTCATATAACATGCTTTTTAGAAATATGATGAAATATTTCACTAAAATTACAGTATCAGGATTATGTTCTGGCAAATTTGATATACTTGAGAAGATAAGAGTTTGTTCCTTTTTTCTGCATCACTCCGTTTTTCCCTAAATTTCTATAATTTATCACTGTGCAAACTCACTTGGGGTTTATAGCAAAGCCTTAGGGTTTGCAGGATCCTTACCACTAATAGTACTATTTAGGAAAGAGCCATGGAAGCATCCAAAGCACTAGATACTCTGCAGAGCAAAGCAATAGACAGGAATTTTTTATGGAAACTAAAACACAAAAGCAGAACCCTAGTACAACATTTGTATACAACCACACTTCCATTATAATTTGCACTGTACTATCATTTAACCATTAGAAGTCAATCTCTACCCACCCTTCAGTTTAGCTTACAATTTTAAATTGTTCCTTTGTGCTGTTGAATTATTTATACATAATAATAACATCCAGAGGCTGAATAGGAAGTGTTATTTTCTATTGCCTAGCATTTAATCTGTCTGTATGTACTTTTTCTGAGCATTAATTATGTGCTACAATTTATCTTGTGAATTTTATTAAATAATTTTTAGATTAGATTTGTATTTTATATAAGTAACAAGGCAATATATATATAGCTTATTTTATTTATTTTAAATGTTGAGAAAAGGATCCCACCTCATGTGGGAATATGCAGAGCAGATCCTGGAGGAAGACTGTCAAATGTATATAAATCTCAATGAAGTTCTACCTTTGGAAAGAGAATTTCTAGGTACCTGTTAAGCATAAAAAGTGAACAGCCCCTTGTTAGCCATCCTAGTTTTTCCTTTATTTATAGATGAACTAAAGTATTTTGAGGTCTTATAAATTCCATCATAGAATCCCTTTTAGATGTTACTAGGGTCTATAGGGACAATCCGGCCAATTGATAAATCCTCTGAAATTATCATAAAAAGATCATTATGTTAATAGCATAGAGAAATATTTGTCAGCTGATCAGTGTAGCACCTTCTCCTTCCAATCTAGGATTTTAAGAGTCTAGTACTTTGGTTTTAGGTTCATAACACTTTTACATGTCCCAAACTTGTAAACTGAAGTAATGGTAGAAGCCCATGTAATGTCTTTGATGTGCAGCTCAAGAAATGGTATTTACTGGCTTTTTACGTTGTCTGTGGTGAAATTATGGATATTTTACTTTCATAGTGGATTACCACAACCACCACACACACTGGACTTTTTAATTTATTTTTTTTTAATTTGTCTTTAATATGAGTTACACGGTACACTATTTTTTTTTTAAGCGTTCTCTTGCAAAATTGGCACATCATTTGTTAGGTCTGTTAATGCAAGCATCTTGTATGCTCAGGTATGTCCTTGAGATGTGGGAACAGTTCTCACTTGCTGCCAGAGAGCTCCTGAAGTTGCTTGCTGTATTTTTTTGTCCTTAACGTTGAAATTTGCTGGTGCAACCTTTCTGAAAGAAATTCTGGAATTCGCCTTTGGTTTCTGACACACTCATTGCTGACTGTGTCTTATATGAAGTGCTCCAACTCACACCCTGGACTTTATAGCTGACTCCAGTGATGAAACTCCATTTTTCCTTCCAGTTGCAGGGCTTGGGATACTTGACTTTGGCAGTGCAAGGTTCTCATTTTTTGTTTGTGTTCGGTTTCATTTTGTGACAGGGGCTCCTGGAAGCATCAGGAAGGGCTCAGATGCATTTGGTCTTTTTACCTCCTGAGGGCAGAAACCTGTGTTCTCCTCTTCAGGTCAACCTGACAGGTTGTCTACCTTGAATTGCTGATTTAATGCAGATTTCTTGTTTGCACAGAAAAAATGAAGCAAATTAGTCTTTTAATTCACAGTCTTCCATCCCTTGGGCTTTATAATAGGATTTGCACTTGTGGAGCTGGAATATAGGCTAGTCTTCCATGGCTTTTTTAATCTTTGCCTTCAAGACAGTGAGTATGGCTTAACATTTGAATGATGTAAACCATTACGTTCTGACTGGTTTGCTAGGTATGTAAT